CATGAACCCTTAATAATTTATAAATTATTATTTTATCTTAACACCACCCGGCGTCTCCCTTCACCCACTTTTCTGTTGCCCATAAAAAATAATAATTTTTGAAAATGGTTTTATTGGTGTCCTCTTGTGCTGGCTGTTTATGATAACCTGTTTTTTCTTTATTACAAGGGTAGCTTAGTGTTGCCTTTGTCTTTTTTGGGACATGAATTACTAGGGGGGAAAGACAGTAATATTTCCTCTAGTTCCTTCTAAAACCTTACATTGACATAGAAGACTAGGTTCTCTTGATTTGTTTTTAAGGTAAAAGTAAGCACAAATAGCCCAATACTTTATAAAAAACACATTTGAACTACAAAATCTTTTGTTTTATAATCTTTTTTCCCTTTACTAAGATTTTCAAAACCATTTTCAAGTAACTTTCTTGAAGGTAGGATGCAGTTTTAAAAATTTTGTTTAACAAAAAGGTATTCCTGAACACTTTTTTGGTATGGAAATTAATGAAGATATTAAGTTGTTTTTCTTGAAAGATTCAAGTAGCCACTATCCCCCAAAGGGAGTTTATGTCAATATGATTTAGAAAATTGGCATATGACTCATTGGATTATTCCCCCATCTTTTTCAGGAACTCTTGGTGTGGTAACAGAAGCTACGATAAAAATCAGACCAGTCCCTGAATACCAAAAGTATGGCTCAGTCGCTTTCCCTAACTTTGAACAAGGAGTAGCCTGTTTAAGAGAAATCGCAAAACAGGTAAAACAAACAAACAGAAATTTGTTTCTGTATTTTAAAAATTTTGCATACTTGATTGTGATGTTCCAAAATTAATCTTTGTATTTATTTGTTGGGTTTTATACAAGGGGTACCACCACCCACCCCCCCACCCCCGCCAAAAAAAAATGGAAAAAAAGCTCCTCTGGTCAGAGCTTTTATAGTACACATTTTTGTGTGTAAAACAATTTAAATACGTAGCTTTGAAAAAATTCCGAGTTTTGGGGTACCCCTTATAAACTTCTTTACAGAAAGGTAATTTTATAAAATTATACTTTTTAGTACAGTTGGGTTTTTTTTTAGTGTTTTTTTTCTTAGGCAATGGCAATGGGTTTGGAGAAGGTGGGGTGTTTGGTATAACTTTACATCAAAGTACAACACATCCTTGACTTGATTGCTTCAAATGTCTCTCTAACTATAGTATGTTATGATTTCTTACGTTATTTTGCGGTAAAATATTTTGTGATTAATTGAGAATGATATTTTGTTAAACCAGGACTTTACTGAAGTGAAAAGAAATGGCTGAATATCAGTGACTCTAAATATTTTAAATTGAATGTGGGTAATCTAATTTTTATCAATTCTTAGAATGTGCTATTTGGCCCTGTTTTTAAAAAAATATTATCTAAAGTATAAAAAGCAACCAAACTCGCTGCCATAGAGTCCATGCCAGCCGCAGCCCCATGGCGGGGTAGACGGCTCCCTGGGACTGCTGAGGCTGTCGCTCACCACTGGAACGGAAAGTGGCGCTTATCCCCAGAGGATGAGGAGTTTGGGTTTGCAGTCAACACGTAACTTACTATGCCATCAGGCGCCGTAAATAGTATCGCTTAATATGATACATCATTATACAATTAGCTAGCTATAAATTAAAGACAATTTTCATTTTTCGTAAAAAGAAAGGATATTTTATCAAGATGTTTTAAAAGACTAGATAAAGAAGTACTTTTTCCCTCTGTTTAATTTTGTGTGTCAGTATAGAAAGTTATACATTTCTTTAGGTACTTGGGTTATTGCTTGAACTATAATGATTTGTGGTTGGGTTTTTTTTTTAATTTGAAAGTTTTTCTGCAAGGGGAATGTAAAGAGATATACTCTGGTTCTTTCTTGCTATTTCCATTCTCTCAGAGTTCTTTAATACTTCATCAGCCATACCAAACTAGACTCTAGAGGAAGGGAGCGTTTCAGTGTGGGCCGCATAGGCTATCTTCCCAATATCCAGACCAGCAAGGTGGAGGGAAGATCTGGCAAAACAAAGTATGTATATAGCAAGTAGCCATATTCCCTGTGGCTTCGCTAAGGTGCTGAATATAGGAAGTGGCAAAGAGTTTATCTTTTGATGATACAATAACAACTACTATTCGAATTTTAAAGAAATGGAAAAATATGTATTTTATTTACACCTGTGTACTTATTGTTTCCATTGCTCTGTTTCTTCTGTAAACCCAGGTTTATATCTAGTGTTATTCCCACCCCTCTGCCTGAAGGACTTCTTTTAACATTTCTTGTTGTGTAGCACTGGTAGCAGATTTGTGTACTTTTTGGCTGAACATTTGTATGTCGCTTTTTGTTCACTATCTGGGGAAGAAAAATATATCTTGTCCATTTTCAATCTGTTAGTAGCAGGAGAATAAGTCTAGATCCTGTTAGTTCCTTGTGACAGTAAGCAGAAGTGAACTGTTAATGTTTTGGTGTATTTTAACGTCTTTTCAGTATGTAAGTTATGATGCTTATTTTTTTAAGGGTAGTTGTAAGCATACATGGGGCTTCAAAATTTTCTTGGAAAAATTCTCTTATCTTTTAATTAATTTTTCACAAATAATATAGTGCCTACTCATACAACTACTTTTTACTTTTTAAAAGTACAATTTGATATTTTGCATTTTAACTGTATTTCTATCCATGCTATAAAACATTGATGGCATGAACAGGGGGAATTTACTCATAGATTGTTTGTTTTCATATTTTGATTTCCAAAGTTCTTGGATATTTGCTTTGAATACAATGCATGTTTTAACATGTTTAATTCTGAAATGTAATGAAATAAAGTCTCGTCCTTAAGCTTGTCTCATCTACACCCAAGCTTCATTTCTGTCTCTTGCTGAGTGATTCTAAAAACTATCCTCCGTATCTGAGCTCCATGTTTGTATTTCTCATAGCCACCTGGGGTCTGTCAATATGATTATCTTATAAGTAATACACACATCTTTAGGCATTCCTTTCTTTCTTCCAACAAATTTTCAAAAGCAAGTCACAAGTCACCGCCACAAATCCGTCCTCAGTTTTCTCAGTTAATTTTTCACTTGTTTTGTTTAAATCATACTTTGTGCATTGGTACTCCCCTATCCTGTTCTTTATCTGACTCCCCCATTTACTCAAGAACTTGTTTGCTTATTATGTGACAAGTTCTCAAGAAACATTTGTTGGATGAATTAGGCATGTAGTGGATTGAAGAGAGAGGCATGCGGGTAAAGAAGATTTAAGATGAAGAATTTTCAACATGTAAGACATACTCAGGATTTCAGGTCAAATATTGAACATTTGGGTATTAAATTATTAGATTATAATACTGAAAATTAAGTTAAGATGATAAATATTTACTATATTTGCTAGATTCACCTTTAATCTTAAATTTGAACAAAAATTTGACAAACACTTCATTCAATCTGGAAATCCAGAAAACGTAATGAAAATAGAAATACTGTGTTTTATTACTGGCTGCTTCCAGGCTGAGTAACATTAATATATACTTAATATTGAGGACCAGAAGAAAATTACTGCTGGCTTTAATAGCTACTTAGTCACCCTAAGAATTCACTCTTAAAGTCATGTTAGCGTCTTTTTCCACTCGCTGCTTATGTGCACTTGGACTTAAAGTAGTTGGGTTCAGATTTTATTAACTGAAGTCCAATATTATTAGCCCAGTATTTATTAAGTCCAGTATTATAAGTCCACTGTTTATTAGCTGTGTGGCCTTTTGTGAGTTATTTACACTCTTTGCCTTATCCTGCCTATCTTTCTCTTTTATAGATTGAAATAATGCTGTTTGTGACCTCTTATGTTTTATTATCATCTTTATCACCACAATCCATTATCATCATCACCTCCACTAAGGCAATTGACTGTACTTGGAAGCACTCCACCCTCAATTGCCATTTCTATCCCTATAGAAAATGTGAAAGAAGAGCTAATAGAATAAAAAAAAGAAAAGAAAATGTGCTCTTTTTTTTAACCTGAATTGCTGCTTTGGTTTTCTAATTAGTCTTTTTCTGGTTAATCAGTAACTGCCTTCATGAACCACCCATATGCCAGAAGAACTAGATGGTAGCTGGCTACCACTACTGATCTTCCTGATGAGGTTAACAAAAGATAGATACTGATATAATTGGGCGGGGGTGGGGGGTGGGGGTGTGGAGATTTGTAAGAAAAGTTCAAATTCTTGAAGAAATCCAGACTTACTGGACTGATTGAAACTAGAGAAATCAAGGACATTGCCTTGAGCTACTTGTGCTAATAGTTTCTTCCTGAGGCTAACTTCCAGGTAAATAACAGATTAATAGTTTCCTCCTGAGGCTAACTTCCAGGTAAATAACAAATTGGCACACTAAAGCAAGACGATTTCCTGTGAGGGCTACAGTTTTTTTTATAAAATCTTCTTAATCAGATGAACAAGGATTCTAAATCAAAGATGAGATGGTCAGGGTGTAGAAAAGTAGAATATTGGAGACGGAAAACCAGAACAGAAACAATACAAGCGTTCAAGCATTGTGAAGAATGTAATCAACGGTGCTCAGCTGTTTGTGTGGACTGTTGAATGGGAGCCTAATCTGTTGTGTAAGTTTTCACCCAAAATTATTATTTGTTAGATGCAAGCAATAATGGCTGATTTAAGAGATATTATTCAAAAACCTGAATGAGAGCATGTGAATTTTTGAGGGACAATACATGTCTAAGTCCAAAAATATGGTCTGGAGAATCCAATTCATTCCTGGCGGGGCTTATTTTAGACGAAACAAGTTTAGGTATGTCTGTGATCAGCGAGTGATACTGCCCGCCACCTTCTCACACATACACACGTGTTCTCATCTTGTTAGGGTGTCTTCAAAAAGCAAAGCCCCAGTCACCACAGTGACTTCCAAGGGGATCTACTGGACCAGTAAATCCAGACAGATCAGCTCAGGAACAACCCTAGAGGCAATACTTTTTGACTACCCTTCTGTTTTACGCTTTTCTGAGTGTCCTGTCTGCTTTTCCACATTGCAAGTACTCATATATAAATGGGAGGGTACCTAAGGGTTAATTAATGAGAAATGGTAAACAAATGTGTATGAATCTGAAGTCTACAATTTTATTAAATGAAAAATATTTAAGTATAAGTAGTTGGTTCAGTTGGGTGCTTTTGTTAAAATTTGGTATGTCCAGTAGAAGGTGGCTGGACAGTTGCAATGCAGGGAATGGAATTCTCCTTCAGCTTTGCATAAGTCAATAAAATGTGCCCCTTTTTTAGTTCATTTTCCCCTAAATTTTATTTATGGTTGTTGGTAACACTACACAAAACAAAGCATAAGCCGATTCACCAGTTTCTGTTTGTCCCATTTGGGGGCATTGGTACATTTGTGGAGTTGCTATATTGTTAAAATCTTCTGGATATTCACCTACGCTAAGTGGTATAGCTATAGCTGTACCCTAAACTCACTATTCAAACCACATTAAAGGTGGGTATGTGTGCTTTGCTTGGAATAAATAAAGGTAGTGATTGAGAGAAAGTGCCACTCCACTGCTAAAAACTTACCAAGAAGGAATTCCATTTGATCTTACAGTTCTAATAATGTCGTTTTGTATACTTAGTAATAGACAGTTTTTAGAGACATACACAATATAAAGTAAATAGTTTTATGTGAAATGGGTCAAAAAGTCTAAATAAATAATATTTTCAAGTATTGCTCGTGTGTTTATCAAATGCAGCAATTACTAAGAATTGT